TTCTTGAGGGCTTTGAAGATAAACGAGAAATGAAAATAAATTCTTAACAACCGTCATATTAATCGTTGGGAGATTATGGATTTAATGGTGATGGTTTTCTTGGGCGGCAGCGTGATGTGAGGTTTGAGCAGCGGTGGCAGCGGCGGTGTTGCTGCTCCGTACACATGACAGACGTGTTTATGTTTTTCTTTTCTGAGATTGTTTCTATTGGATGCGGGAAGGGAGGGCAGGTCGGGTGTTTGATGGTGTTTGGCTGTGGCGCATATTTGCGGAGGATGGGATATGGAAGAGAGAACGCATAGGAGGAGCAGGACTGGAAAAGGCGAGATGGGTGGCTGAGGCGGTGTTGACGAGCCCCACCTTTTTTTTTCTTTTTTCTTTTCTGTGCGGCGGTGTTGATCGGGGAGCTGGGAAGCGCACGGGGGAAAGAGAAGGTGTTTTTGTTGTGGCGGATGGCGGAATGTGCTGCTTTTTGTCTTCGACGGTGGAGGATGGCGGCGGCGGTGTCGTCATCACGGCTGTTTGTCAGGGTGAGTGTATGTCCGTTTATTTTGCTGGCGGGGCGAGGGGAAAAATACGGGATGTGATTCCTCCTTTCTCCTTGTGACTTTGCACGCACCTCCTTGTGAGTGCGTGGAAGTGTGGGAGTGTGTTGTCACCGGTGCGTCTTCGTGTCTGTGAAGACATCTCATCGGGGGCTTGCGATCTGTTGTTGTCTTTGTTGCTCTTGTTGGTTTTAACGGTTTCTTCCTTTTTTTTTTTTTTGATTGTTGCATTGTACACGACGAGCACACACGAGCAAAAAATTCTGAGGAACCGCTTGGGGGTGGGGGGAGCAACGGCGATCATAATAAGTTAAATTGAAGAGGACAACCACACATCCCCACACCCTTTACGTACGGCAGCGGCAGGAACACGTTTCTTTGCGGGCTTTATTTGAAGCACTATTATTATTATTAATTATTAATTATTATTTTTCGTTGTTTGTTGAGAAAAGGGGTTGTTGTTGTCGTTTTTTTTCTTTTTTTGAGTACTTTTGTCTGAAAAGGAAAATACACAGAAAACAACACCACCACCAACAACAAAAAGATGGTGTGTTATCGCTGTGGCGGCGTGGGTCATACAAGCCGCGACTGCTCAAGGCCTGTCAATGAAAGCCTTTGTTTCCGCTGCGGCAAACCTGGCCACATGAGTAAGGACTGCGCCAGTGACATTGACGTAAAAAATGCCCCCTGCTTTTTTTGCCAGCAGGCCGGCCACAGGGCCAACAACTGCCCGCTCGCACCGCCGGAAGCACGGCAGCCGTGCTACAGGTGTGGAGAGGAGGGCCACATCTCCCGCGACTGCACGAATCCCCGCCTGCCACGTTCAGAGCAGTCATGCTTTCACTGTCACAAGACAGGCCACTACGCCCGCGAGTGCCCGGAAGTGATTGAAAACCTGAAGTGCAACAGCTGCGGCGTGACTGGCCACATTGCAAGGCGGTGCCCGGAACGGATAAGGGCGGCGAGAGCGTTTTATCCGTGTTTTCGCTGCGGCATGCAGGGCCACGTTGCTCGCAACTGCCCGAACACGCGTTTGCCATATGAGGGGCAGCTTTGTTATGTCTGCGGGGAGAAGGGCCACCTGGCACGCGACTGCAAGTCCGAGGCCCCGCTAGTCGCATAATTTTGCAGCCTCATTTCCCGAAACTAAGCGAAAAACACATGCATGCTTGCCTGAAAAAAAAAAGAAAAATTGATTAAGAAGAAGCAAAAGAAAACCAAAAGAAATTGCATAAATTTTTTGTTGTAGTTTTTTTTTTTTTTTTTATGGACTCATTTATTTTGCTGACTACGACCTTCGTTTGCCCCAGCGGTGCCCCCCGCAGTGATGCTGCCCACGTAGAGCGTGACGGGTGGTTGTGGTGTGTGAGGGGTGCGTGGCACATCCGCAGGCGGGCAAATGAAGGAGCATTTATGAAAGATGCGCAGACACACAGAAAGAAGAAAAGAAAAAACTGGAATAATCGATGATGAAAAGAAAAAAAAAAAAGAAGAGAAAAGAAGTGATACCGAAGAGGAGGAGGAGGAGGCAATATCTCGCCGCTGTTGGGTCGTTTCCCCATTTGACTCTCAACCGTGACTTGTTTTTTTCTTTTTTTTTTTTTTTCCCGCGCCGAGGGACGAGCGGGTGGTTGGCGGCTGAAGAGGGGAGGGGGAGGAAATCCACACAAAAGGAATCCAATAAATGAAGACGAAAGAAAAAAAGAAAAAAAGAGGGGGGGGGGGGGGGGGGGG